ACCTGGTTAAAAAAGGTTAAAAAATAGTGGATGACCTGTTTTCTTCTTCTGCTTTAGTTGCCAGGAGCAGCGTCGGTCTGAGTGTAAGGAGACGCTCCACTGCTGCTGCTTTAGCCCAGACTGTGACTCCAGAAACACAGGAGAACAGGTGAGACACACACACACACACACACACACACACTGTGGCAGTGGATGTAGATGTGCATGCATACACTCATGCATGCATTTACTGTGTTAAGTAAAGGTCTAAGAAATGTGTTGAATGTATTTCCTTCCTCATGAAACACTTGGTGTGTGTTGTTGTTGGTTTATTTAACAGTTGTTACACATTGCTGTAATTGCACCAGAGTTAGCCAAGAGGCCATTTTTCATCTGCCCCTAGTTTGTTTCTGCTAAAGCATTGTTGTACAAACGCATCCAAGCTGGTTCCTTCAGAATAACATGCCCAAGCGCAACATTTTTTACCATGTTGAGAAAATTGTCCAAAAACTCTCTCCCCACACCACCTCTGGTTTCCAGTGCCTACTACACACTACAAGTGCATCTAGTTTTCGGCTCTGCGTTGAAAAAGAAGGATGTCCCGTTGTCCCAAGGACAATAGCACCTTGGACACAAAGATACAGTGTTTGGGACAATTCTGGGACAGTAGAGAAATGTATCATTACAAATGAAATAAAGAGATTGCTTATACCAGTGTTGCAGACATGGCTACTTTCTCACAGATTTATTTCTAAAAAGCTACTAGCAACACATTAACTTTGAATGTATCAGGGGAAAGGTTAGAAATATATTGAAATCAATTATAATGAGAGTCATTTTCATGCATGCTAATCAGAGTAATTACAGTCCACGGCTCTTCTGCCAACAGCGCCGGGGTCTCTACCTCTCCTCTTGGGCCGTGTGCAGTCAGTGGGTGGGGCTTGTGGGGCACGTTTGACCTTCTCTCTCACTCTTTCTCTCTGGATTAGAGTGTTCCTATAGCTTAAAGGGAAAATAGTTTGAGTGTGTAATTATTTACATAGTTAGTTTGATCTTCTCTCTTCCCTTTTTGTAGATTTTTCCATTTCCATTCTTCCACTATACCATGTCCCTGCAGTGAGTTAGTGATTATTTGGCTAAATAATAATGTGTGTGCGTATGTAAATGTACTTCAGCTGTCAGTTTAACTGTCAGTACCAGAACTCTGATAGAATGAGGAAGTGGAAGAAATAACCAAAAGAGATAAACAAGCTAAGCAAGAGGAACAAGTTCATAAAAATGTTTTTTAGAATGCAGACATCTAAGTTCGACTTATACAGTCTCACAATGTTCACAGCGGTCGTCAGTCGGCTGTTTCCTGGTAATCCTGTTCAAACTGTCTATGACTGTCTGCTTTGACCAACTGTTAAAAACCTCAGTGATTCAAAATAATTTTTTCACAGCAACCATTTTAGTATGAAATAGTAGGGTAAACACAGGTGTTACCAATAAAACTAATTAAAGTTCCGTTCGATTTAGTGTAGCAGAGCACCCTGACTGTGTTTACCCTACTATTTCAAGTCAGAATGGCTGCTGTGATAAAGGTCTGTTAACAGTGATATGGATTACATCCTCAAATTTGAGAAGCTGCAACTAGCGGATATTTTTCAGTCATTCAAATTGTCATTGATGATTAAGCTTTCAAACAATGAACTGACAGGTCTAAACTTTGAGTTTAACTCATGGCGGAGCAGTTGGTGGACAGATGCCAGTTTGTCCTGATTTAACCTTTTGGTTTTCACCAGAAGGTAAACGGTGGATGCTTGCCAGCCGTCTGTAGGCCACTTCTGCTTTCTGTTGATGTCTTTTCACGCACTATCTTTCTCATCTCCGTCCTCTTGGCTTTTTGGCTCTCATCTGTCCTTTGAAGATGGCAGCCAAATAATAATTGTGAATGACACAGCAGATTCTTCAAGGGCATCAAGGCTCAAAAAGTGTACAAAGAACCAGAACCAGAGTTGTGAATTGATTAAAGTTGATGAGAACAGTGGCAATGTAATGTAAATTTGAAAGCACTGCAGCACCCACCGGAATTTACTGACAAGCTAATATTAGCTGGTGGTGCTAAAGTTGGCATTACAAGCTGCCAGGGCAAGCTAACTTTAGCCTCTTGAGCTAAAGTTATTGCACAACCTTAAATGTTTTATGTTAAGCTGAAAACATTCATATGATGTCATTGAAACATAGAAACCAATATTTATTATCAATAAATTATATCTTGGTAAAAATATCAATATTTTGTGTTCAGCAGGCATCAGCAATCAATAATCTACAATTAATCTGTGCACAAAGCCTAAGACATTAGCAGACAAATCAATATAGTGTGAGATTTCATCGTAAGAAAACCTCTTAATTAACCATTGTTAATAATCAATAAACTCAACAGATTTCCGCGGGGAGTCATGGGGATGTTAGAAAGATATTGATTATGAATCTCTTGTGCCCGCAGGAAACCTAAGACAGGCATATTGATGCTGAACATGGGAGGACCCGAGAAACTAGAAGACGTTCATGACTTCCTGCTGCGGCTCTTCATGGACACAGACCTGATGAAACTCCCTGTGCAGAAGTATGCGCCATGGGCACGCACACACACACACACA